ACCCATGGTAACCTGCTCCTGTTTATTGGAACCACACAAAACCAAAATGTGTTATCAGTGCAAGATGAACAATCTCTGTATAGGCATGTGATTCATCCCAGACAATATACAGCCCAGAGGCTGAGCTCATACAACACACCAAATCCCAAACTCAAGTTAATAAACCATAATTGCTGTGTTCACATAACATGTTATGCTGCTACCCCACCCCACAATATAATGGCTTAACACAAAAGTGAATTCCCATAGCATGCTAAGACAAGGGTTGAGTTCCCGGAAGAAACTGAGCCATAAATTTCCCATCCCCACTTTAGCCTACTCAAAGATGTTACGTGAATTCAACATGTGGTATGCATTTTTGTGTAAAGGCATAAATCTGTACCAAGGAAGGATTCCTAATTTAGGCAGAAAGGACAAAAAGGCCTCTTACCTCAACTGCGACACTAGAGGAAGGCACCGGTGTATACTGGGGGATATAGGCTCCTTGCATAGCTGCTGCTGCTGGCATATACTGGTAAGAAGGAGAGAAGATATCAAGAGGCTGCAGCAGGCCTGGGCCTCAGCCCCACAGAAAAGGGAAGGAGAAAAGGGGTCCTTACTGTGCCAGCACTGCTGAGGGACAGATGGCCCAGCTGTTGGGTTAGAGGCCCCATCATGGAAGTGGGCTGGATGGAAATGGTGTGGTCCATGGCAGGTGTGAGCACCGTCCCCTGCTTGGCAACAAAATATTAAGTGAGTAAAAGAGAGTAACATTACAGACAAAATGGTAAGGTAATGAAGGGGTGAGTCTATAAACTCCCAAGAGTTGCGCTGTGCACTAAAATAGATTCTGGTATGAAAGTACTCCATTTCCCAAAAGTTCAAATGGAAGAATAATTAGAAAAGGTGGGACATGCTGATTAGCACCACAGGCGATACAGCGCTTTGAATTAGAAGCAAAAAAGATTTTCCCAATGGGTAGTAAAGCAAACTAGTTGTTGCTTAACGCAGATGAGACAGAAGCGTTCCTGGTCAGTCACATTTCCAAACAAGGAATTGTTAAGTGCCTTGATCTCCATTTGGGAGGGAAAGGTAGAACAGAACTCTGTTAAGCCAATGAGCACTTTTCCTAGCTTCTTTTAACTATATAATCCACCCACCCCATTTCTATACCACTGAACTGTACGTCTCACAGCAGTTTATAATAATGAAACCTCCCAAAAACCAACAAGAAAACCTTAAAACCGACAGCCCAAATGATGAAAAAGAAAGTAATAAAGCTACAATAAAACAGGCACTCTCCCCAGCCTGGCTGACATCAAAAGCCCGGTGGAACTGTTTAGCCTGCAAGAAAGGATGTGCCCAATCTCACTTCCAGAGGGAGGCTGTTCCGCAAGGTGGGGGCCACCATTGAGCAACGTCATCTCTGGCTCCCACCATCCTCACCTCTTGAACCTCACCCCACCTCCTGAATATCTTCAGGACACTCCAGCCCCAAACTGGGATGAGTGTATTGGATGGGATGGTTCTACTACCTTGACTAGTGTTCCACTTTGGTTCCCCCTGAGGAAGGGTTTAAAGGTTTAAGTTCAAAATAACCCCTTGAACTGAACCCTGCTGGAACACCTACAGCATTGGTGCTGTAGCAGCTCTCAACCACTTGCACCAATTGCAGCTTCTGAGTAGTCTTCAGAGGCAGCCCTGTGAAATGCCATTTCATACAGCTTGCAGGCCACTCTTAGGCCCTGCTGGGTAGGTAACACACTGGGCCTTTTTGCAATAAGAGTTCTTACAATACATGGGAAGAGACTTATTCCTAAGCAGCCACACACCCAATTGCTTCAGCACTCTCAGAAAGGAGAGGCCACGTTCAGGACCAAAAAGACAACATGCAACCTTGCTTAACACTGTACACACACATATACAGTAGCAGGCCCCTCTCCAATTCACATTACATTTCTCCCTCCCCTAGAGCCAACACCCAAAAGACTGGATAACAAATCCTCAACAATACTGTATGCTGTCATACACTGTCTGGCTCGCCTGCCTTGCGAATGGGGCGTAATAGTAACAATCTCTCAGCTGCTGTTCTGCTTTTTGCAGCAATTATTAACTTTATCTACAAGCAGAATAACTTTGTGAAATGTTTTAGATCAAAGACTGGCACTTCCATACAGTCCTTTGCAGCACTTCCAAATCAGCATCAGATCTCTATATTCTTTGTGTTCGGCAGCTGAGCGGATTTTTTTTCTGGCTCTGTGGTGGTGATGCAAAATGGCAAGCGAATGTTATTTCCATCTGCAGGGAGGGAGCTCTGCAGAGCTTACAGGTGGTCCCCTTTCCCATTGGCGAGATTTCTTTCCTCACTCTACCTCCTGATTTCTGGGCTTCAACTGATTTGGTGTTCCATTCATAGGTCCTTAAAAGGGAAAGGTGGCTTAACAAATTTGCAGATCCCTCTTTACAGCAAGTACTCTGATTTTTTAATTTTTTTTTGGCATACGGCCAGACAAATGCACACCATTCTTCCAAGTACAGTTTAAAATGCATTTGGGGGCTATCTGGGCTACGCTGACTCTTTGCAGATCCTGTTAAGTGGCATGGTAGCCCTGAGGATACAGGCTGGGGTAAAAGTCTGTGTTTCTATCTTCTTTTGGCTGCTTGGATGTGTTTTTTAAGTTTGGGGATGGGGTTTAGGGCATGCTGTTTCTTTTCTTCCATTTTGTGTGGGGTCATGGCAAGGGATTGTTTCTGCCCCAGGGCAATTTTTCTATCTCCTTTCTTCATAGGCTACCTTTAGCAGCCTGCTCCTTCTACTTGTCTACAGCCACTTCACCCTCTCCTCCATCCTCCCCACGCACAACCATGGATACAGTTACTGGGAAAAGTGCTTAGCTGCAAAACTGCCAGCCAGCTGTCCTTTCATCATCACAGCTAGCAGCAGACTCTTAAAAGCAACAGGAGCATGGTAACTTGGTGGCTTTGCAGTTACCTTTTATAGCAACTGTTCAGTTTTTTAAAAATATTAATTTCTTTGCAAGCAGTCAGACAAGTGCATACAATGTACATTAGGAAAATATAGACAGTGTATGACACGTATGAGCTATTTATGTATTTCTAACACAAGTAGCTTTGGGTCTGGCTCTGGGATCCAGAGATTTTTCATTTTTAACTCTTGACAGAGTAGCGCTCCCCCAGAGTTGGTATACAACTTGAGAGTCCTCTTGGACTCAGGTTCCTACTCAAAGAACAGGTAGCAGTCACAGCTAGGGGGACTTTTGCACAAATCCATCTTGTACACCAACTGCACCTGTTCCTGGACCAGGAGGCTCTGTTCATGGGCACTCATGTCTTAGTCCTTTCTTGAACTACTGCTATGTGCTCTACTGGGGCTGCCCTTGAAGAACACTTGGAAGCTTCAGGTGCTCCAGAAGGCAGTGGGGGGAACACTTCTGGGTAGACCAAGGTTCACCCATGCTATATCACTCTTGTGCCAGCTGTACTGGTTCCCAGCACACTTCCAAGTGCAATTCAAGGTGCCAGTCATCACCTTAAAGACCTGCATAGCACAGGGCCAGGTTATTTGTGGGATGCTCTCCCTGAGAGTTTCTGCCCATTCCACCAGATCTGAAAGGGTAGGCACACTCCAGGCCCTCTCCATTAAACAATGTCATCTGGAGGGACCTAGGAGACAGGCCCTCTCTGTTGCAGCACCTGCCCTATGGAACAGCCTCCCCCTGAAGATCCATAGGGCCCCCACCCTCCTGGCCTTCCAGGAACCTGTGAAGAACTGGCTTTTCCCCGGGCCTTGGGCCAGGAATTTAGCGGAGCACTGACTGAACTGTTCTTGCTGCTGCTGCTGTTATGCACTCTGTTGTTCATCAGCTGGATAAAGGACCCCATTGGTTCTCTCCACTCCAAGATCATAGCTGCAAAGGTGACTGCAAAGCTTGCTTCAGAGTTATCTGGGGCTTTTATGCACTGCAGCCCTAAGCTGCTAGTTGCCACCTAGAAATGAAGCTAGCTTAAGAAATCCCTTTCTGGATTTTGACCCCTTTCTCCGCTTTGGTCATAGTAATGTCCTAATGTTCTGCCTGGACCACTTCCCTTCCTGATTGGATTCCCCTGCTTCTTTACCTCTCTTGGTCCAGTAAGACAAAAAAACCCCACACCGTTTAATAACTTTTCCTGTCATTTTGACTAGAAAAGGAGAGTGCCAAAAGTCTTGTCAGTTTCAAAACAAACAAAAACAAGTCCAGCTTTCACTGCTCCATCTAAATTCACAATTAAAGGGCCTAATTAGCACTATGAGAACATTTGCAACATTTTTTAAGAACCCCAGATAGGCAGGTAGGTAGCTTGGCAGAAACAGTTCTCACCGTGGGCTGCATGAGGTATGACTGATGGTGCATCCAAGATGGACTGTGGACCTAGAATAAGATAGCATGTTTTACACGCAGTCTCTTGGTAAAACAATCCTGAAAAGTAGATCAGTGGAGTTCTTTATCCCCCTGTCATGGAGGAGGCTGAGCAACAATATCCAAGTGATGCAGGTGAGATTTCAACCCAGGATTTCTGGTTCACAGCTCACATCTTTAGGCCCATGTAGACTTTTCTGTTTAACTTTGCTTGCCCCACCCTGGGTTCCTTCCTAAAATCTGGGTTCCAGACTACGACTCCCATGATCTCTGAACATGGGTCATGCTGTTTGGAAGGCCACTTTAAAAGCAGACCACAGTTTCAGCAAATAGGGGTTTTACATTTAGAGTAAAAGGAAGGCATAGGCAGCAGTAGCTAGTCTCTCTCTCTCCCTATCCTACCCCTCCCAATAATTTATTACACTACTTTTTATCTAGACAAGCTCACTTCTGCTATCTCAGCTGAACAGAAGATACAGCAGGAAAGTCAACCAGAATTACCTGTGCCATTTGTTCTAAAAATCAGACATGCCTTCTCATTTTTCCCTGATGGGGAAAGACTTGGGATTAAACAAATACATCAGCCCCTGTCCTGTTAGTCTGGTCCTCCACAATATTGTCACATCATTTCTTAACACGTCTGACTCATTAATAGTCACCAAATCCATGTTAAGCATGGAATTTCGTTATTGTATATGGCCAACACACCAATTTGTTGTCATTTGCAGGGAAGAACAGAAAGACTGCCTCCTCCTTCCCGTTCTTGGTACAGCCATTTCCAAGCTCTCATCTCTTGTAGTGGCACATGTCCCAGTTTGTCTTCTCCAGGATTAGGTGCCAAAGGGACATACCTGGTAAGAGGAAACAGGTGATGGGAGATAAGGGGAGAGCGCAGTCTGGGCAATCATCCTGTTCGGGGCCAGGCTGTAGGGCGTTGTATAGAACCTGCAGAGAAAATAGGGGCAGCCTGTTAGGTCTGTCCAAAAATTGAGAGAGGTCTCAACAGACCTCTCTTCCCGCTGGTTTCCATGCAGGTTTAATTCTGCTAGGCCCCATCAATGAAAATATTACTGACAAAAGGTGAAGGCACAAGAGCAAAAACATACCCGTTTTGTAATGCTGTTGTAGGGTCATAAGTCAAGGTCATCCCACCCTGCAGGAAACAATAGTTAGTTCATATATGGCTCATGCCTTTTCCTGTTCCCCAGTGCACCAGGTTCTCAGCTCAATGAAGCAGTAGTTATTATTTTACCTTTCTAGGGACAAGGTGAAAGCCTTATCCAGGCCAGTAGAAAGCCTGTTCTCTCATCCAACTTAGTTGGCTTGTCAGCCCTTAGAGAGGTTCTCCTATCACTAATCTCAACCTGCACAACTGGTGACCAGTCCACAAAATCCAAAGGGAGACATGTGCAGCCAGTTTGCTTAGGAAGTTCCATGCCAGCAGCAAACATGTCAAATAAATTTTTTATCAAGTTCTTGTTGGGCCACCATATATGGCCAAAGGCTATTCTGTGCCTGCTGAAGCCCTCAAATCTCCTACTGACCCCCACCTTTACCGTATCACTTTCCCTTGGCCAGGCTCGTCCATTCTGCACATATTTGCCCTGATTCTGACGCTTCTTCTGGCCACCATCAGCAAATTTGCAAAGCAGTGGATCTGGAGGAGCTGTAGAAAAAATAAAGCTGGGATTAGCACTGGGACCTTTTGTTATTACAGATCTGGACTGTCCTAGTTTGGAAGATGTTCCTAGGACTCAGTGCTCTCTCAATGCACTTGAATCTAAACCTAAAACCTCCTCTTCACAGCTGACTTGATATGCACGCTTGAATTCCACTTGGCCCACCCCTTGTGTACTCATTAACATGACACTACTTTATAGCAGTAACTGCTATATCAACCATGGTAGCCTTGAAGATCCAGAGTGGACAACCATGGCTGATCACACTGGACAAAGACCTGCTGCAACTCATCCTTTCTTCTTCTCCTTTATTTCATCCCACCTCTGAACCACAGATACCTTCTGTTTCACCCTTCACTGGGCACATCGGAGAATGAAACCTTCTGCAATTGTTCAGGATCTATAATCTACCAGCTGTGCCCAGGTGAAATCAAAAGAGCTAGTTAGCATCAATTCTGTGACTTCTACGAGCCCCTCTGCAAATTTTTATTCTAATATCAGTGTTAGGCATAGTAGCATTTTGTAGTGAATGCTACAGCCTGCATCCACAGTTCGTGTGGCCAAGGCAACTTTCCATTTAGAACCAGACTTGCAGACTTCAGGGTCATGCTTCTGTTTCCCTTGAACTTTGTGGTTAACCTTCCTTCTGGTTGCCAAGCAACTACTATCTTCTCCCACAACTGGGAGAGTGTATACAGCTATATAGCACCTCTGAATTGCTACCACATGAGTAGCACTTATGTAGAGGAGACTACTCCTGCTTCTCAACACTGGGCCCTTGGCCAACATGCCAGAAGGGCCAGCTGATACCTGCACCAAAATCAAGGAGCCCTCTATTCTGTATGTATGTATTGGGGGGTGGGGGGCCAAGGCATGGGCACTTTGGAAAAGCAGCTTATTAAAATAGCTTGTCAGAGAGGAGGCAAAAAGTAGTTGGACAGACATGCTTCTTTATGGGTCTGTTCCAATCATATATGCTTCTGAGTGGAGTGGCTGTGTTCCCTCTCCCCAAATTCAGTTTTGTTATGCAGCCTAGTTTTATCCCAGCCTACAATGGAGAGTCTGTAGCTGTAGCCATTATGGTGTTGAGCTTCTATCATGGACTTGTTCAACCACTTCTTTGACACAAAGATCATTTAGGTGATTTTGGGATAGTTACCCTCTCTCAGCATAATCCATTTTACAAGTTTATTGTTGTGGGAATAAAATGAAGGTTCAATCTTCATGTAAGCCCCTGGAGTGTTCACAGAAAATTTAGGATATAAATACAATGAACAACCTCACCACCACCAAGAAACAATCTATAGAAGACAGCAAAGGGAAGGGAGCGGAAGATAGTGCAATACTGCATTTATTGTACATGATCAACTGATCACAGCCTGGAAATGGCAAGAAAGCCCTGGTCCTTTTGGGAATTCACTGACTTATTTGAGATGTGAATGAGGTGGACACAAGTAAGGAAATAAAGATGTCCCACTTATAAGAACCTTTGTTGGAGTGAAGTCAAACCATTCCACCATTCCATAAGAACCACACTAAAATACTACTCCACGGAAAAAGTATGATTCCTTAACTCTATCTGCTGATCTGGATCTAGAACAGCAGTGTGTGCTATTCTGGATCTTCCCTGAACGGACCCCTACCACCCTCTATCAGTGGGCTGCACAGCTGCTAGGTATTTATGAAAGGTATCAATTTTAATTGCTGGCTACCTCATTGGGTCTTGCACACGGGCTGTCAGACTTTCACAGGCACCTCTACTTAACTGGAAAATCTGATGGTAGTTCCTGTCCGTACGCATGTGATCTGAACATTTAGCCAGGGGTGAATGGTACTACCTCGTACTAAAATCATGACATCATGGTTGAGAACTTTTTCTCATCTAGTGCTGGCCCTCTCGAACCAACTGCTGCCAGAGTTATGCCCAGGAGTCTAATTTATCAGTATTTAAAAAGGTGCTAAAACCTTTCTTTTTATGGGGGTTTGTGAAGCTGGTTTAAGTATTAATTCTTTGTATAAAAATGCTTCGTTGTTTAGATATAACTTCCAACAATTGTTTTAAAAGTTATGGGCCATTCACGTTACTGAATCCCTATATAGTAGTCGTGACCTTAATTGCAGTATAAGGAATTACTATACTAATGTCCTGATGTTGTATTTTATTATTTTGTATGGTGCCCTTTTATAAGTGCAAAAAAAAAAAACTATTATTCCTCTAGCAAGGAACCAATCCACCCTTGCCCTTAGGGTACTCTTCTCACCTGGGACCCCAGGAGGCGTCTTGATATATTTGCCATTGAAGTGAGTGATGATGGCTTCACACTTTTCTGTAGACTCCATCCTGGAGAAGCAATGAAAAGAAAGTGTCCATGAGGCTGGGATGGAGAAAATGGCAAATGTTTTTATGCAGGAATAAGCAGGGAGAAGAATGTGCTGTCTAACAAGTGTTGTTGAATTCCAGGTCCCTCCGACGTAGGCAATACAGCCATCAGGAGAGATGGTTGGACAACCTCAGCAAGATGTCTAGACAACCTGCTCCTGATAGATGGGGCATGCAGTTCAAAATATAGTAGATGTGAGGGTTGCCAACTCATAATTCCTATGGAAAAATCCATCAGCTGACACTTTGCTCCATGAAGAGGAGCTGAACTGAAAAATAGCCCCATGTCCTGAACATCTGCTTCTATTTAAAGGGCCTGGCAGAGAAGAGGGGACAGGGGCACTCGGGTGGATACTTGAGGGAGAATACTGAAATCAGAAATCCAGGTACCTACCTTTCTTTTATGCTCAGAGACTTGCATTTTAAGAGTGATATGGTGAGCATCAGTATTTGGAAAAGTTAGATAGGAATTAACTGCCCATGTGATTCCCCTATAAACTAATCAAGATTCAGCAAAGTCTAGAAATCACATCTGGAAAATTTATGAAATAGCCCATTCCTAGGCAACATTTCCTTGGGGAGATAACTAAAAATCAATCCAAGAATGCAAAATTCGACATCAGAATTAACCTAAACCATGTAAACCAATCCACTTGGTTTTGAAATGCAGCAGTTTCCTGATCACTAGTGGGGTATAAATTTATGACTCCAGGTAGATCCAGTACTGCAAGGAGCTCTCAAAATGCTGGCCTGTGCTTCCACATTGCTGTGCTATTGGGATTAAAAACCTGGTTCGTTTGCTTTCCCTCTTAGCCTTCTAATACTACTGGACAGGCATCTAAGGAGGAGAATACCTTAGAGCTATAGCATTTGGCAGAAGTGGGAGAGCAAAGTGGCTTTGACAGACAGATAAAGTAGTGAAAATAATTGCTGTAGTTTCTCTCCTATCTTCATGAGGACCCCCCTTCCAGTACAACCAGCCAGAGGAGACAGGAATATATAATTAGCCAACCATTGCTAATTCTACCTAATAGTCCAAGTTTACTTCTTCAAGTATGATAAAGGAGGTGAATATGGAGGACCCAGGCTCTCTGCTGCAATGTGGACATCTGGCAGCAGGGGGTGCTGTAGGATAAGAGAAAATGGCCAAGCTAACTCAGGAAAGGGAGAAGATGGAACACAATGGCCCACCCAGGTGGGTGTTTGAGCAGCGTTAGGCATACCTATGCCTAAAGGTAGTTACAGAGTCAGAGAAATCCTTTGCAGTGAGCTTGGGTTGGGAACCAAATGCCCACAGATGTATTTTCCTCCTTCTCAGCAACAATGCTCAACATCACTGTTATAAGCATCAGGGAAGCTTTGACTTTAAATAGGATCGATGGTGCTTCTACCTTCCAGCAATCCTGTTCCAGATCAAGCCATTTCCAAATCATTGGTTCTCTGCTACCAGTTTTTCTCCCCTCCCTTCTCAAGCAATTGGCTAAAGATCTTGCTTCTCCCTAGTCTGCTAAACTGCAGACTGAACAGCAGTTGGGTGCTGTAGGAAAAGTGGAGGAGGTAACCTAGGCCTTTATAGTCCACCTTAAAACACCTGAGAGGTTTCTTTGGCCCACAAGTTACCACATGTTGTAAGGCTTTAGGACAAAGAGCACCGTGAAGTTCAACTTATTCTTTCTGTCTGCTGAAAATGGAAATGATTCATTTTGAGTGTCAGTGTTCCACCATCTTTCACTGCAGCCTATCTTAATCTTTCAATCAGTTCAGGAACACTCGGTGATGTCGTAATGGCATATTTAGGGAAGGAGAAACTGGAAAACACACAACACAACAGTCCCAACCTACACCGTGAGCTGGGCTAAAATAATACGGCTTCAGAGACATGTAGAAAAACTTCCACAGAACAGCCTAATCCCTGGCTGAACATAATGTCCATCTCCAGTCCAGGTTAACCAACTCAGAAGAGGGAAGCAACAGCTATTCCAGCCTGATGGTACATAACTTCCTTAAGCTTAGGAATAGGACATGGTAGGTGTAGAAAGGCAAATATCCATCACCTCCTTGAACCAAGAGGGAAATATTTGCAAATGCTCAGCGTATTTGCACATGCTCCATGCATAAAGGAGTATTTGACCAAGCAAATCTCTGTGCAGGTATTCTTACAGAAAATCATCCTTGGGCAAAGGAATGGTTCAAGGCTCATGTTCACATTTCTGAGGGTTCCCTGAGTGAACATAGGCTACGGGTACAGCATCAACATGCCTATCTATCTTTTTAAACTACCACCACTGTGCAGGGCTGAAGAAATGTGCCGCTAAACAAACAATCCCAAACCCCGTCCCAGCCATCCTGTCTAACCTGGCAAAGCCAACTCCTCGGCTGGTGCCGCTGGCATCACGTAGGATACGTGTAGAGATGACTTGTCCAAATGGCTTCAGCATTGACTCCAATTCAGCCTCATCCATGCCCAAAGGCAAGTTTGACAGGTAGAGGTTGGTCGGATCCTGCTCCTGTTGCTATGGAAACAAGAAGTCAGGCTGTTGCCTAGCAATAGTCCATCCCATCCTGGGGACCCATTCCTTTTGGACTGTCCCTTCCCTTCCTGAATGTGTCACCTGCCTCTGCTTGAGATGCTCGCTGCCTCCCTTTCTCTAGGCATACTGAGGCCTTTCCATCTATAAAGAGAACTCAAAATATTATCTCAGTACAGAAGCCCAGTTTCTGTTCTGGGCACCCCACCGGTGAGACTCACTGCTCTGAAACAGAATGAAGAGAGGCTGAGGCATTGGAAGGACCCGGCATCTGGGAGAGCAAGTGAGGCAGCAAACATGGCCCAGAGTATTGTTTGCTACATCACATACACAAGTGTGCTAACTGCAGGAACTGCACACTGTGAATGACATACGTGCCTTACGTGCATGTGGGGACACTGTGTTCTTTCCAAATAGATATTCTCAGACTGTCAAAGATGTTCAAAGGGAACCCCATCATTGGCCAGGCCTGTAATTTACCAAAATGTAGAGGATCACCGGTTCCCCACCCCTGATTACAGTGTAATTGACTGTGAAAAACTCTACTGGAACACCAGGGTATAACATCTGCGACCCATCAAATGTGAAGATACTCTTGGGTTAAGACAGCATCACTTATTTCCTACATGGAACCACAGTGATGAAGCTCTCTGCTTCCTTGATAGTGGCTGGTTTCAGCCTCTAGGAGGCTCTCTCTCTCTCCCCCCCTCCACCCCACTGGAGGGGAAAGAGAATCTGCACCTTGATTCAATACCAAATACCAAACTGCCAAACCATTCAAGCGACCATCCCCAACCAAATGATGGCACTGTAATTTCCAGAACATATTCCAACACATCTAGCAGGCACCAGTTTGGGGAAGGTAGAATTAAAATAACCAGCAAGATCCAAGAGGTGTGTGTTTGGAAAGGAATGAATATGTCATATATGTGAACAATTTATCTTCAATCTTTGACATTTCTAGTTTGAAAGGATTCTTGAAAAAAATATCTTTTTGCCTAAGAACTTGGAAAACTTGTGCCAGACCAAGTGGTCTGGCACAAGTTTTCCAAGTTCTTAGGCAAAAAGAGTGAGACTGAGGCAAAAAGACTTAGGCAAAAAGAGTGAGACTGAGTGATACTGGGAATTATTCTGGGATTCCAAGACCAGGATACTGGGCTTAATGGAGAAATAATTTGATGTGCTATGGTAGGGTCTCATGTAACAGCTGGGGTCTGATTCACATGTAATACTGAGATACACTGGCTGTGGGTGTTGCCCTTGCTTTGCTTAGGCTTTATCTGAATTATGGGTTGAATAGAAAACCTGAGTTCCTGCAGAATTTACCACCATGTCTACTTGTAGTGACTGTTCCCAGCACCACCACTCCAACACATGTTTTGAGGCACCCAAAGTGCCCTTGAAACACTGCTGTAATGCAGGGGAATAAACTCTGCAGAAAAGCCTCTCCCATCATGCTGCTGTATGTTGCAAAAGGCCAGGCTACAGGAAAGGTCTTGCTTGAACAGGGCAAAGTCACCAGAGACGTCTTGTTGGTGTAGCACTAGCATTTTAATGGTGATGGTTCTAATCTGGAAGATTCCCATTCTCATTGGTTGAAGTAAGGAGTGTTCTCCCAGGTAGGGCTGCAGCTCAAGGCTTACCTTGGCCATCTGGGCTTGGACCCCACTGGCCTTGAGTGCAGTCACGGCTTTCTGAGCTGCTGTGGGGCTGTCAAAATCCACAAAGCCATAACCTGTAGGATCAAGGAGAGGAAAGATAGGTGTGCTGACCTTGGAAGTCCCATTTCTAAGGTAATAAAATGCTTGCATAGGGAATTCTTCCTACAGCTCTCTACTTCTAGGTGAGTAGCAAAGAGACTCACCTCTGCAGCAGAGCAGAACAGCTCCCGCCTCACCCACCTACTTTTCATTCTCTGCTGCACCACACCCTCTTGCACACCACAATCAGCAATCATTCTGAGGGGCAAGACTAATGTTATCTGGTGGGTTAGCAAACATTGGCGCAAAAGCAAGAGAGGGAGGATCTGTCTCACTATTAGACCATACAGACTGCAAGATTCCCCTTCTCTTCTTCCTCTTCCCCCTCCTCCTCCTCCTCCTCCAGTTTATACTCTGAGTGGATGCTCCACCTTCCCTCTTCCCCAGCAATGTCTGGCATGACAGGAATGCAACTCCTCCCCCCCCCTCACCCTCATGCCAATAAACCATCCCCACCTCCAGACAGAGCCCATCCTCCTCAGGAAGCCTGGCCCTAGAATCCAGTTCTGAACCTGTCCTGTCCCCCAGCCTTACACAGGCTTCAACTTTAGAAACTGCAAACCCCAAACCTGTGAAAGAAAGAAACCCGAGAGATTTAATCCTCAGGCCACTGCAAGGATGCAGCGAAACATGACAGCTCTGCACTCCCCCTCTCAGAAACCCCAAGCAAAACCCGTGCCTGTATTCAAGTCCTCCTTCTCCCTCCAGGTACTACACAATATTTTCCATATGGAGCTGAGAATAGAATCCAGGCTGAGCTCACCTTTGCATTTGTTGGTTGTTTTATCCAGGATGGCCTTGGTGGAGACAATTTTGCCATATCTATGAGTATAGAAAGACATCAAGATAAGGGACAGAATTAGCACAGCTCTTACAGCAAGTTCAAGAAGTGGATCAATGTGGAACTACTGCTTGACCTTCCTGGAACATTTCTCCCTCACAGATTATTCCCCGTCCGCACCCTCACCCCAAGAGGACCTGAAAATAAAGTTTTTCTCTACTCAGGAATTGGAGCTGCTCTCCAATTAATTGGAGGACCACTACAGACCAGATGAGAATGTTTCATGGGCTGCATTTGGCCCTTGGTTCCCTACCCATGTCCTACAGAAGAACTGTAAATGGTTTATTCTTCACCATGACAACCAAGAAGCTAAAAGTGGCTAGAAAAGTTTATTCTGATTTATTAATCTCCTCAATATCTCTCTCCTCAGATTTGTAAGCTGAGCTGTACCATCTCTGTGATGGAACCCTTCGCCTGCTCAAGAAGGTGAATAAAGAAATAAATTTCAAAGTGGACATAACTGCACCTGGCATGGTCCTCCTTTTGCTACCATGCAACTGTTCATGGGAAAAGACCCACAGGAGCCCCTATTCGGAGAGAACCCTGACAAAAAGCCAGTTGCTACTTTTCTTGGCAAAAAAAGCTTGTGGGTCTCCCAGTGAATAGCCATGATGTTTGAAACTGAAGAACATATGGCTGGCATGTATCAGGGAAGCATGAGACAATCCCTCAGTGCATGGTCAAGAGATGTCCCTGTACGTTCATAGATATGGAGCAGCCTTGACAACTCGGTGTCAAAGAGGTACCATTAATTAATTGCAGGCTCTTTGAATTTCAAAGGTACCAGGGCACTAGCCCTGAGTCCAGAAGAATGGCAAAGTGATGCTGGATTTCACATGAAGCATTATAACAGGGCTGGGCGAGTTTGGTGCATGGAAGTCATACTCAAATGGCTTTGGGGGGGGGGGGGAGGGCTACAGAGGGATCAGTGATACAAACTGGGAGGAGGCTGGCTATGCACCAGGATGGAGCTAAGCTTCCATTTTTGAGTGGGAGTTCTATATTTTTTTAAGACTATAAACCCTATTCCACCTCTGGGTGTCTCCAAATGGTGGGAAATCATGCTGCCCAAATTCAGTAATCATGAAGTCAGTATTTGGTAGCTTGGTCAGACATGGGCTTGAGAGCCTCAAAAAAACACTTTTGGAAGCCATGTTATGAGGTTCATAAGCCATGTTATGAGGTTCAACTTAAAAAGAAAAAAAGAAAGTCCACATTCCTAATTATAACTTACAAATAAATGTCACACTCTGCAAGAAGGGCAGTTCCTCACCAGATCTGAAATTCCAGTCTTGCACAATGCAATCCCAGACATACGGAATGCTAAGTCTGGGTGGCAGAACTCTCATAGACACATATAAAAGCATGGATGTTGTCCTTGCAGTAGTCTATATTAAAACCTCGAAAGGTGAGAGCTGGGAACATTAAAACAGCCAAGGTGCTGTTCCTCACAGCTGAGGTAACCACCAGTCCTGGAGCTGGCAGAAGACTATACCAGCATAACATAAGCTGCCCCCAGCGGTGATCTCTATCCTGCCACAGGTATGATTCTGGCAAATGGTGGTGTTCTTATTTATGGGCATGCAGCGCCCACTAAAAATAGGATTAATAAGTTTTCTCCCGACTTGTTTCCTTCCCCTCCCACCAGGCACCACCAAGTGGTAGGAAAACACTTTTCTTAATGTGGGATAGGGATGAGGCAGAGGCAACTTTTGACAGACAGCTAAATCGGTGAATTGAGCCACCTGTCAAAACTTGCTTTGGTTTTGCACACATGTTTTGTACAGGTGCCTTCAAAGGGACCCAACTATCAACTGACTCAAGCTAATTTCAAACGTGGGTTTAGAGCTGTTCTAGCCAGGCACTAAACCTGTGTTCAAAAGCGGCCTGAAGAACAGCTCACAGGGAAAGTTACACTGTGAAGCAGCAGAGAGAGGGCTGTCTCTCTCCTGCTTCACGATGAAGTCCACCCCACTCCACCCCCTGCCATTTAGGCTGATACAGATCACCAAGCCAGGGATCAGTTCGCTGGTACAGGATGGATTCTCTCTTGCTGCTTCAATGGAAAGGTTTTCGAAGAGGATGCCCAGGGACCAGAGGAGGGTGAGTGTGCAACAGGTGCCTGGCCAATCCTGCCCCCAGGGGTCGACTCACTGACACACGAACCAAACAGCTGGTGAAGTGCATCGGGCAGCACCCGTGTAAAAACCACTGTGGCTTGCTGAATGCTTAAAGAGGTAAATCCATTTTAACTCTGGAGCAGCTAAGGACAACTTTCAAACTACTTCAGGTAGGGATCATGGACAAAAGGAAGGCAGCACCATGAAGGCAGGGCCAGAGGAGATGGTCACCAGGACATGTTCCTGCCACCGTTTCCTCACGCAAGTTCTTCAGGCCGCTTTTGAACACAGGTTTAGTGCCTGGCTAGAACAGCTCTAAACCCACGTTTGAAATTAGCTTGAGTCAGTTGATACTTGGGTCCCTTTGAAGGCAAGTGAAGAAAGGCCCTGAAAGGTGCAGTGGTTATTCCAGCCTCCTCTGAGTGGTTCTGGGGTCATGAGAAACAGCCTTGGTGGTGGAATGACTCTAACAGGCTTTTTCTTTTATACCACTTCATTAACTTCCTATCACTATCCTGCGGGTGAGGGCACAGCTCAACCTTATGCATGCAATTCCTTGGGCCAGTCTTCCTGGGACAGAATTTAGCCTTAAATTCTTCCAGCCCATAACAAAACAAAACAAAACTGGTGCTAGTGCAAGCCCTGAATTAGTTTCCCTTTAAAAATAGCCAACTGACTCTGGCTTCCCCTCCCCTCCCCCCCAACTGCTGAGCCCTACAGAGTCCATCCCAGCTGCCCTCTGACCCCACCCGCAATGCTTCCTGTTCACCCCAAGCAGGATTTCCTGCCCAGGGAAGGACAAGCCCAGGAAATTCGACCGGCGCCAAGAACAGCCGAGACCTGGCGCCTCCCAGCCAGGACTCAGGGGAGTCCAGCTGTGGGGTTTCAGAGTGAGATGAATCATGCTGAATGCTGTGGTTGTGGT